AAGTCGACGTATAAAATATATTGCTGTTTATTTAAATGTTTTAGGTTCGGGAAAAACGCTGATTAAGTTTTCATTTGGGTTTTCATTATTTTTATTTGGTTTAAAAAAAACGTTTCGGCTAACTATAGCCTTCACAGTGTTGTGTCATATGAGAGAAAAATAGTGTCGAATATAATCCAAAAAATTAAATATACCAATATAATTCACACCTCATAATGTTTACTGCAATTAATAAACTAATATAAACTTATCAAAAAAGATGACCATATTTTTTAAAATTATTATTTAACACTAAAATTATCTACATTGACTATGGAGTACGCAGTAAACATTATGTGCCAATGGTGTGAATATTTTATATGCAATTTTTGGATTATATTCGACACTATTTTTTTCATATGACACAACACTGATGGAGGCTATAATGTTAGCCGAACCGTTTTTTTTAAACCAAATAAAAAATAATGAAAAACCAAATGAAAAATCAATCAGTTTTTCCTCCCGAACCTAAATTCCAAGAAAATCAAAAATTTAGAATATTTAGAATCAAGGCTCAAGAATATCAAATTTTCCAAGATTGTAAAATTCTAGTTAATTATTTTATGTGTACAGTTATTTAGGGAATGGCATCGATGTTCATTTTCAAGCCAACTAGACGCCGATTTTTTTCGATGATACGGTATAATTCTTACGTAAAATGTAAATAACTTGATAGACCAATTAAAACAAAAGAAATATGAATTTCTTAGTATTTTTAGTAACACCTTTTATTCTTAAAACTTAATTTTTGTATTATGCAAATATACCAATTTTATTGTTATTTTATTCATATTGTATTCAGCCATCACTTAAATATTTGATATTAATTTGGTATTATAAATAATCAATACTATTCATTAAAAAATTACTGAACAAATATATGTTATGCTTAACATACATTATATATTATCAAACAAAAACACATTCTTCTTTTAAACTGTATCAGTCTTGTCTTTACAAAATCTTTTTTAAAATTTGAACTCAAAATAATAATCTTTTTCATGATCTCTCTAATACACATATTCTTTATTTTTCCCTAGATCATAATACCTACTTACGTGTTTGAATCTATCGGGGCTGAACCAGCAACACTTGGGTGGAGAGATTCCACAATATGAATAAAATAAACATAATTGTCCAGTTTTCATTAATACCATCATGGGAGAATATTATTTTAAATTTATTAAAGATATTTTCAATAAAATTCTCTTGATTTATAACTCGTACCCACTTTTCTTGCTCTTCCGGACACTTTAGGCTGCCTAGTATAATAACTATCCCAGTAACCATCCTTTCCACCAGGAACACAACACAAAGATGAGGCATAGCACCAATAACACACTCCACTTAAGCTTTATTGATGAATTGTTAGAGTCTTAAAAACACACACAAAAATCACGATAAGTAAAAAAATGTATGGGCACTTTTAGGTTAAATCACTTGCACAACGTGTAATTTTTAAAATTTCTATTTTTTTTTGCAGAAACCAAAGAGTGACCATATATCTGCAGTAGTAGTTTATGTCACTTCAACACCAAAATAATTAGTTTTTTGCACTACAATAATAAATAATACCAAAAATCAAAGAGTTAAAACCAAAAATCAACCGACAAAATATGAAACGGAATCTAACCCAATATCTAAGTATGTACAGCTGATGAAGTAAACAAAAGTCCGCCCGTAGGCTGATCTTTTAATAGAAGGCATTGGTTCAAACTCTCGAAACTTTCGTGTAGTATCGGGGGCGGTCGTGCGGAGCCGATTGTAAACCGCCTAAGCTCCTCCTCCTTTCTTCGTTTAGGATATGTCTAGGCCGAAACAGAATAAAAACGTGTTCTTCTTTCAAATTTTTGGGCAAATAGACAAAAATTTGACGTTTATCCCTAGATCATATATATAGAAATACATTTTTAAGATATTTGTATATAAATTATATATGATCTAGAGATTTATCATGTGACGAGCAGATTTTATTCAAATATTAAATTAATTTTTAATAGCATTATGTAATAGTTAATATCTTTTATGGGTAATTACCCTTTTATGTAAATATTTTTTAACAATGAATGATTTTGAATGTAACATTGATTTTTGATTTAGTGCTGGTTGATTTATGATGTTTTCATAATGTTTTCCGTTAAATGAAATTTATATTTATGAATTAGTTTTCAGCGGAGGGCTTTAGTAAAAAATTCGAACCTTAGTAACCGTTTTCTTTTTACCAAAAAGGTAGATATTTTTTTATGTTAGAAGTTATAACTTAATTGGGCATTGGGCATCAGAATAAACATGTGAATATCTTGACTTGGTGTTTGTTGTCTACTTTAAGTGGTACTGAATTTATTAAAATAAACGTTGTTTTCTACATTTCTGTTTTATTTCAATAACAAAATACTGGTCCTACACCAGTGTAATAACAAAGACATCTAAATTTTAGCCGAACACACGCTGACCATTTTATAATTGATTTGGTCGATTTATGATAGAATTGCAGGAATTGTATCACCTTCAACGAAATCAGCTAAGAAGTATTTAAAATATTAAAACAAAACCTTAGAGGGAAAAAATAAAAGGCAAAACCGATTTTTAAAAGAATTTAATATAAGTATTCCAAAAAAAATATTTTAACGCCACATGATGTAACACAAAAAGTAGGTAAACATCAGTTATAAAAAAAACATTAGAAATTTATACAGTATCCTTTAAGCTAGGCTCACGTTTTTCTGCAGAAATAAGTATTTCAATTCAACACATTGACTATCACAATAACTACACTAACTATATCAACTGGTTAAGCTCCGCATTATGAATATTCTTCACCCGGTCCTATTTTCAAAGTGAAGTAATGTAATTTTGATCCTGATTTATAAACAATATTATTTGAATGAAACTTTTGCTTTTAATTTTCCTGCCATGCTGGTAATTGCTTTGGATTTGTATTAACATTTTCAGGGTTAGAGTTCAGTATAGTTTGATGTTGAATTCCTTTCTAACACAATCTCACAGCTTCAGGCTTCAGGTTTACATACTATTCATACGCTGTAGATTTTTGACCTAAAAGAATCACTAAATATAGAAAAACTATGGGGAAAAGTGTTTATCATAAGCCTTACTTTTTGTTTTGATAAGGATATGGCCTGCAACTTTAGGCTTCCATAATCACTGACAAAATCTTGCTTTAAAATATTTGAACACACGCCTCCTATTTCCTTTTAATTTCTGGAAATTTGTAACAATTCATGGTGAACACTACTAATAATTTCCGTGTTTCTTATATCTTTGAAAACTCCACTGGGCAGTCTGGGCTAGCATTTAAAATAAATATCAAAACTAAGGGCTTCTATTTTCTATGTTATTCACGAGTTAAATTTTTGGTTTGTACCGATTCCGCATTTCTAGGCTTTCAGGTTCTGATTTTGCAAGATAACTTTACATTTTAAAATATTTTAAGTGTATATTTCCACCAAAAACAAATTGCGTTGACTTTTGTTTACAATTTAAAATACAAATAACGAGGGGAGGAGCCGAGATTCGATAACTTCTAATCGGGACCATTCGGTTTACCGTTCGCTTGCGTTCGGGTTTTCGATAACTTGGGCTTTCGAGAGTTTATGGTTCTCCCATGCCCGAGACTAACCAACGCAATTATACTTCAAAATTTGCGAGAAATGTCATTTTGGCCTGTGATTATTTTCAGTCAGGAGAAATTGTGGTTAAAAATCAAAAGTTGATTGTTTAATAAGCTAAATATTAGACTTTCTCATAGATAAATGTAACAAGTTTAGATTGGAAAGCCCGTAAAAATTTTAGGTCGCGAAATTATTTTGGGTCGCGACCGTTATACGCGATCTGGCGCTGCTATAGCGGTCGCTAATAACAACGGCAAACAAAAACAGAAATAATTTTCTCTTGTCAAAGTCAGAATCTTCAAAAATCATAATAATTTTCAAAATCTAAACCGCTCTCATTAAAGAAATTCCGAAAAGTGTTTATAGCGTTCATTTTCAAAGTAATTATTGCTATCTTGTGAGTTTAATTCAAGTTTTATTTACTCCAACTGGTGATAATTGTGAAAAAGTGGCATTAAAAACTTAAAAAGCTGTGCTGTGAACTGTGAACTGCAAAAACCATCGTGGGTCGTGGCATAACGTCGGTTTCCAATGTTTCGTAGGTATTTCATACATATCCTTATATAAAATAAAGTTTCTTGTATGCAACACACTGTATTTTATTTATAAAATTAAAAGCAAATAATAATAAATTTGAATAAACAATATTTTGCGATATAATTCCGGAAAAAGCCGAACCGCTCCGAAATTTTCAAAAGTTTTGGGTCGCGACCGTTGCAAGAATAGCGCCAAATAGTGTTTACATCGTCCTTATGGGCACTTTCCAATCTAAACTTGTTTCATTTATCTATGGACTTTCTCTATGGATACAACACAAGCTGTTGCTAGGATATTCTATTAATTTTAATTGTGTTTTTTAAACATTAGGTCTGTTCGTTTTCCTGTTCTTATCAATTCTGAATCGTCCTAGAACTCTCCAGCGCATGCGCAAATGAAATAATGTCTACATATTTCCTTCTGCGCATACGCATCACAATTCTAGGACGGTTCAGAATCGGTAATAACAAGAAAACGAAAAAAGCTTTAGTGAATGATCGTAAACTAAAAAGTATAAAGTGTAATTGAAACCACTAATATATTCCACTAATTGCGAGGTTCTGAATGAAGCTTCAAGAGTTTGTCAAGTTTTTCTACTAATTGAAAAAGACTACCACTAATTTTGACGTTCTGAATGCTTACATTGAAATTAAAGGAACAAACTTCTGCGCTAATTGAAATCCCTAATTTATTACACTAATTGCGAGGTTCTGAATGAAGCTTTAGGGTTAAGATCAGAAGTATGAATGTATGAAAGGAAATGCTTTATGCAAAAATCAAACACGTAATATTTATAATGTTTTTATTTATAAAATAAATAGATCATGGTAATACTAAATTAAATTACCAACAAAAAAATTAAAAAGTTCGATTATGAACTAAAACTGAAATTACAATTTGGATAACCGATATGCTGAAGCTTATCGATTGATTCTCCGAAACTCAGTATCAGTTTTAGTTCAGAATCTGTAGAGGTAAATAACAGATAGATAAAATTTATGAATTTATTATGTTTCTTGTTTCTATTGTGGCGACCGGGTGTTGTAACAAACTGTCGGGCTCTGGGTATTCAAGGATAAGTTATTTAGATGCTTTTCCACCTAAAAATACATATACAGGGTGTTTGAAATTCGGTTCCACCATTGGAATCTCGGAAACGATAAGAGATACAGAGAGTGGCTTAAAGTGGGACAAAGTTGCCTGTTACTGAGTCCAATGATAATCCATGTAGTAGTTGAACTTATCTTTGTCATTTCCGGGAATATCGCGGAAAAAAAATTAACGTGTAAGACAGTGATGTAGTAAAATGAAATGTATTAAAAAGAGATAAAAGTTGGGTTGATACATTTCTTTTATGCGGTATTGCCGGATTTTGAATCAAAAGTTCACACCGCACAAGCAGGCGTTTATGGAAAATGTTGCATCTAGGGTTGGAACCTGATTTTTCACAATTAGTTACTGCAGATGTATTAGATTTAGCTTAGATATATTATCTTCATTTCAGTAGTATACTGGGGGGTCCAAACTGTATTCAGGAAACTTGGGCAGCATATTCTGCAGATAAAAATAAGTAAAAAAGTTCGTCTAAATGTATGTTCTAAAATGCTTAGTTTCGGAGATGCAGAGTGTAGAAATTGGATTTTTATTTCGATTCTTTCCAAATAATTTCTGAAGTAACGTCAATATTTAGATGAAAATTGGTGTCTGGGAGTTCTTTGGCATGAGAAATTTGATTTTGATGTCAATATGACTCCTACTTGGAGAGGGCGCCACCTGCATATCTTTTAACTGGTTTGAAGAGTAAACCCAACCTAACCTAACCCAACTTTTGGTCCGTACCTGTATAAAACTACCGAGTACAAAAACAAACATTTACGATGTTTTTTACGTAAAAAAGATCTCTTGATAAAAATCGCTACGAGTAATGGTTCTCGAGATATTTGGAATCGAAATGATCAATACCTGTCATCGTTGATATAAATTAAACATGTTGACTAGTTATTAGACTCAAATCATAAATTTGAAATGTTCTTGTGTCAAAACTTTAACAGAAACTGTTTTATCATTTTTTCGCGGAAAATTTATGATTAATTTAAAAAAATAATAATTTACCAATTTCATTATTTCAGTCAAATAACTATCTACATACTCAAGGTGTTTGTTTTGTGTCAATAATAACATGTATTGACTATTTACATTCTAAATATCTTGAGAACGGTTGCTCGTAGCGATTTTTACCAATAGATATTTTTCACGTAAAAAATCAAGGAAATGTATATTTTTTCACTCGGCAGTTTTATACAGGTACGAACGAAAAGTTCTTACCCTTCAAAACAGTTAAAACACATGTAGGTGGCGCCCTCTACTATTAGGAGTCATATTGAGATTAAAATCAAATATCTCCTCATGTCAAAAAAATCCCAGATACCAATTTTCATCCAAATATTGACGTTACTTCAGAAACAATTTGGGAAAAATCGAAATAAAAATGAAACTTCTACACCCTGTATCCCCAAAACTAAGCATTTTAGGACATACATTTATACGAACTTTTTTACTTATTTTTATCTGCAGAATATGCCGTCGAAGTTTCCGGAATACAGTTCGGACCACCCTGTATATGAAAGTTTTTAAAATAATTTATTTTTTTTCTACACAAATTTTCCTACAAACTTAAAAACCGACAATACTGTATGCCGCTTTCGATTTTGTCTCCCTATCAATAGGTCATTTATATTATTAACCACACTTCTAAAATGATCAAATCGATATATACCAGGTGAGTCTTAAATAAGTGCAAATATTTTCAGGGCTGGTAGATCTCGATAAAAGAAACATATTTTCTCTTTACCGTTTTTCAAATATAAGTCCAAAATTACCGAATTATTTTACTTTGAAAATTTTAACAAAAAAAAAGAATTTTTTTGATTGAAAGATTTTTTTGTGTAAATTTTCAAAACCACTGGATCTTTTCTGGGTTTCCATTCTTGTAAATTTAATCTTGCCATATTATTATCAAGAAATTATTTTTTTAACTAAAAACTAAAAAAAAATCAAAAATTTTTTTCAATAAATTCCAAATTTTCAAATTTTTCGCGAAAAAAACTTATAATCTTTCTAATAATGTTTCTGAGGTTGAAATATACTACCACTAAAAATATTTGCACTTATTTAAGACTCACCCTGTATATATTTATCTTTTTCAAGCAAATAATTGTATTACTTACCAATTTAAATATATATTCATAGGTCTTACTACTTTTATTGCCACCTACATTTTCCAATTGATAAGGTGGACTTATTATAACCTAAAAGTATAAAAAATACAAATTTTCTCTAAATTATCAAATGCTTGAATTGAAATATGACAGTTTTAAGACATTTGGAATGAATTTAGCGTAAATAACAAGTCGCTACCAAACAGGTCGCCTATGAGCCACAGTTATATCCATGGTAGATCACTGTTCCATATACAGTGTGGTCCGCAGAAAAAAATGAGGTAAAAAAATGCAGCATTAACAGTTATTTTTTTTGTAGCTCATATGAGCCTCTTAGCCTATTTAGCAGTGATTTGCTAATAGACCCGGGCCTCATGTTATGAGCCGGATTAAAATATCCCACAGGAACAGACTATACTTTTTACATACATACATAATGTTAACAAAATATCAATCAGCAGTTCATTTTTTGAAAATATATCACTTGGTTTATCAGGTTGGTACACAAATACACCCTTACGTACCTCATCCAACACAATAATATCTGTGTTTCTCCACCTCACTTCTTCACTAAACTGTTTTGATATTGCTATAAATAAACTCTGTCCTTCAGTAGAAACGTTTGCAGATATTGCTTGTAATAATCGTCTTTTTTCATCTACCTGATTCCTCATTCTCGTGTTAAGCTGTAAATATTAATATTATTAACAAATGATGGGTCTAGGGGCAAACATGATAAGCACCAATTTACTAGTTTTACAAGAGAGCCCTGGACGGCTGGTCGTTATCAGCTTCCTTCCCTGTATTCTATATCTTTATTAGGCATATATCATAGGATTTAACAGCTTATTGCCCTGCAGTGTTTATACATTAATTTACTAATTAGACCTACTATAATATTGTAAAACCCTATAATATAAAATTGGCGCTTATCATGTTTTCCCCTGGATCCTTCACATGCAACAAACATATACTAGATTAAGCATTGGCTCAAGACATAGGAATTCCATGTAAATTTTAAGGATGTCATTTATTGACTCCCATATTGATTTTAGAAGAAACTTTTAATGAAGCTTTTTAAAATACTGTATTAGATCAGGCTATCAACTTTGAAACTCTTCTGCTGACACTAAGGTAAAACACTCTGGCCACCAGTATAATCTATTAAAATTTATGACATTGAATGAGGAATGTTGTTTTTGTTGTAAAAGGATGTAATTAGGATAGAATTTTTTTACAAAATATTTCTTGGTAGCTTATTCTGCAATATTATCATTTAATTATAGTGACATTCTCTTAAATTGAATATTTCATGAAAAAATGTTTTATACTTCAATGCCACAAAAATGTACCAAAATGTCATAAAATTTAATAAATTACTGGTGACCGGACTGTTTTACCATTTACAAGTTACTTTTTTTAGGAATATAATTTTGCAAATCATTTAGAAACAGCTTAGCAGAACAGTTTTAAAGTTCTAGTTCACTGATATAATCCAGTACTTTAAAAAGTTCCATTAAAAGATTCTTCTGCACCACTAAACGGCACCCTTAAAATATACATGGACTTCCTATATGTCCTGAGCTGATGCATAACCAGGTATGTAGCAATAACTGAAATAGTTACAACAAATAGAATAAATATTCAATATTATATCTCTAAACACTTAAACTTACCCTTTGAAGATTTAAACTCTGTGGTAGTTCAGTTATAAAATTCCCCTCTTTCTTAACTTGCAATTCGCTAACATAAGATAAATTTACAAACTGGACATCGTTTAATTTAGGATCTCCATTTGTGGAACCACATTCTATTTGTTAATTAAGGAAACATTAAAAACTATGAATACAACACCTCCTGTTATAGTAGGTCAAAGTAATGCAATCATATTGATATTAACACCAAGTTAAATTGCTTTAATATTAGTTTCAAAAGATACGAGTAATAAAATAAACAAGACTAGTCCCTTGCACAGCCAACCATGTTTCTATAAGAACCCGGCTATTAAAAAAGGAGGGTTTTAAAAAGGATACTTAAAATGAGTATTTTGTTTTGCGGCTCGAATGCTAATACTTCTCCTTCAATTTCTGCATTGTAACATGTTTTACACCAAACTATACTTCCTATTGAGAAAAAGTCTGAAACGGCAGCCATTTCGCAAATGAAAATTTGACAACAACATTTGGGGAATATTTGGAAAACTGTCACGTGGGATTCGCAGGTCTGGCAACCTACCTGTCATATTAGTTTTCTGTGGTCAAAAATATCATATATAATTTCTATGGCGGTAAAATTAAAATATCTCATATTTCTTAACATGACCGAATTTAAATACTTTTAGGAATTATAAGCATTTTTTCAAAAATTAATCAAATATACAAAGATGCAATACTTGTTTTGAGTCCTGTCAAATTAATTTATGCTTATATAGGTGTAATTTCAAGGAAAGAAAACAAGGATAGAATTTTTTATTTCTTACAAGATGGAATAAAAGAATTAACAAATTATGATTTAATTGTTTTTTTTTAAACTAAAATTAGGGGAAAACGGCAAATTATACTTCTGAATAACTTCCTTACATATTCATATTTTTGCGCATTTCTATCAAAAAATTGCAATTGCACAAGCATGACAAGCATTCAAATCCAATCCAGTTACGTCACAAATAATCAGGTGAAGTGTCAACTGGACTGAAATAGTAGTCTGAAAAAGTTTTTGGATTTTTGGATACCCTATCCCTCTCGAAATTTTATTGAAACTAGCCTGAAGAAATACATCTCGAAAATGTTATCAGTTTGTAAACAGACCATTTCACAGACTCTCCAAAGGTCAGTATTCCTTGACATTGTGATATGTTATCAAACCTCTTCAGAAGAATAAATAAATAAAATATGTTTTATAATTCGAGTGCCGTAATATTTGTCTAGTCATTTGTTATTGTTTAAAAGGAAAGTCTGATAAATTTAATGAAGGAAATTGAAATTTACGTTAAGGAAAGGTGTACGGAAAATTCCATTTCTTAAAATCAATACCGAATTTTTTGAAAGAGATTCATTATTATTTTCAATAAATATTTAAATTGAGATATAAATGAGGGGGCTTAAATAATAAAAATGTAATTTATCTCTTTTTTATTTCCTTTTTATTCTTAAGTAAACGTTTATGAAACCTTTTTCTATTTATTATATTATGGTCTCAGCTGATTTTGACACTTGTTTTTGTGGGCTTCAAATGATATTATCTTAATTTTTATTAATTAAACATTTTTATATTTTACTTTTTTCCTTAGATAATATTTGAGTTGGTTCGGACGTTTTTGCAGCAAATTTTGTCTCTTGTCCAAAGGTTTAAAGTTTAATTTATTTTTAAGATGTTTACGCAACTTAGCATCCAGATGCAATTTTATTGTTAGATATTACCTCATTAAAAGATTAGTTAACTGTAATCACATTTTTATTTTACGTTTTATCCATTTATCGAATTTAAAATATAGTAGGGAAGTACTTTCAAACTGATTTAAATCGAATATTGTTTATTAATAGTACTTGCGGTCAAGGTCGCGACTTGTTATTAAAACCTATTCTGTGACCTATTTATAAATCGGTTGGAGATGTTAAAGGTCCCCATACACTTCAGTTATTTTGCTGGGATTTAACCGTGGAGTTAAAAACGCGGGGGTAGAACAGACGGGGCTCATTTTGCCCAGTTTATTTTATCCACGAACGATGGATTCGAGAAAGAACCTGTTAGCAGTAGCGGCACTAATTGCTGCAAAAAATGAAACCCAAAAATGGAATAGAAAAAATGTTGAAAAAGTTGGCTACAGGCTTGGTGCATTTCAATTGATTTTAAAAATTCCGATCGCAGCGCTCGATACGGTAGAAATTAGAAGTGCCAGACTGAAGTATTTTACGCAGTCGCGTTACCGTTCATGTCGATCCAAAGCTTGTCGATCGCATTGAAATTGTATTAAAATTGTGGCTTTGTCATAATATTTAAATATTTTAGTTTTTACTAGTGCGGTTTTTGAAACTATAAAACACTCAGGTAGGAGGTGTTGTGATGTAACGCTGTTTCGGGTAGTGAAAATTAAGTGAAAAGGAACCCCGACTGGGCGTCGCGTTGTGTTGTGACAATTTCACATGTTAATAGAATTGCCAAAAAAAATACAAGTAAAGGAGGACGTAATTACGTAGTTGTTGGGTGTAATGCCGGGATTGCCGTGTCCAGACCAAGCAGACAAAACAACTACAAGACAGAAACATTTATGTTTTACGACAAAATTGCGACAAATCCAATACATTTCTGCCACATTTTTGTCTCATTTTTGTTTTGTTTCAAAATTCGGAGACTTTTCAATGTCCCGTCTCGAGTCGGTAAAGATCAAAGTGTCTATGTTTTGTTCGTATATTTTACAACAAGTCGTCGGCGCAATGTGGATGGCGTGTGCTGCCAATAGTAGGAGACCAATGAAATCACACATGGTGTTAAACTTTTGACACACATGCTGAACATGCTAAACAACAATTTGTCTCAAGTTTGTCTTGTCAGAATTCCCCATTTTTTGTCGCAAGTTTGTCTTGTTTTTGTCTCAAAATCGTGTTTACTTTTTGTCACCTTGGTATGGACCCAGCATATAATAACATTCAATAACTCACAACTCTCCCGGATATTCATCTCTCCCGAAGCAACATTTTATAGCTTCTCAGCTTCTCACACCGATTTGATCAAAAGCAAAAATGGATGCTCCTTTAAAAAATTTCTTTATAGCCGAAATCCTCCCAGTTATGTATGTCCCCAGTAGCTACCGTAGCTGAACTCATCTAAAAAGTTTTATCAGCTTGAACAATAAATTATAATACAAGTTAGACCTTCTGACGATATCAAAATATTTCCTTTTTTATTTTTAGAATTTTTACAAATTATACTTCCTAAAAGTTTTAGAACAATAGACATGTTCACTAATTTCTAATTTCAATGAATTTCGATAGCTACTTATGAGTAAAAAAACATGGCACTCAAAATTTTTCTAAAAAACTATAATTTTCTCGCATAAACGCAAAACAAAATTGAGAAATGCAGCAAGGCTAGAAAACGTACCGGGCTCGATACTACCTGTTTTTGACGTCACTGCTTTAATCGATCGATGGCGTCCGTACCACAGGTCCGTACGATCGTGCACTTGCCGCATTGTTTTTGCAGACGTTCGCGAAGGTGTATTGTTTATTTTCATTGTTTTGATGTTTTGAAGAAGTAAAATGAGTTCACATAAGTGGTGTTTTGTCCCTGGGTGTATTAATACTTCAAAAAAAATCCACAGAAGTTTAAATCGTTACTTTGCGCTCCTTGGTTTTAATTCTTATTTTCTACTTTTAAGTGCATTTAATTTTAAGCTTGTTTTTAAAAAGTTTTTTTTTATCAATTTTTTCACTTGTAAATTTTTCGCTATCCTATAGGGTGTCCAATTTAAAATGAGGTACATGGGGATCTTGGAAACCGTTGGAGATACAAAATCGGTTAAATGGAAGCATGCGTACATTGAGTATTTGTGTGCCCAAAAATAATCTATGTCTATTTTATTTTAAATCCATATCGTTACGTAGATACAAGGTGAAAAAGAAAAAACGAACATTTTCGAAAAACCACCATATTTTCTTTATTATTGGAGCTAAGGTAATCAAAGTTTCAATATATGGGCAAGGCAACATGGCCGAAGCCGTGCGCAACGTAGTACGCTTAGACTTTTTTGGACATAATTTTTAAAATTTCCATATTGCCTTACCCCTATGTTAAAATTTTGATGACCTTAGCTCCAATAATAAAGAAAATATGGTGGTGTTTAGAAAATGCACCAAAGGGTCAATACAATTAAAATTTAAGATTTGGCTCCTTCTCCTTAATACGGCCCTGTATCAGGTCAACAATACGATAATTTTACATTGTCTTAGCTTCTATATACGCATGCAAATTTTCAGTTTAATATGATAATTTAAATTTGGCTCCTCCTAAATACGGGCCTCTGACAGCTCAAAAACTCAATAATTTTGTATTGTTAAAAACCAAGTGTTGTTTGTTATCGCTTTCAAGTAAACCCGTCCTCCATCTAGTGAGATGGAGGATGGCTACTTAGTGAAGTAGCTTTGTTTTTAAACTAGTAATAAACTCCAAATATTAATCACAAATTTAATATACAAACTACATCCGAGCACAACGCGATATGTCGTATTCTAGCTTGTTCTGTTAGAAATTCCACAGCGTGCAGACAGCACCGTTTACTCGCGCGGAAATACCGATCGAAGCAGTGACGTCAGGCCAATAGGTGAGCGTTTAGCGGATTCAAACGATTACGATAATTTCGCACGGATTTTTGAGGCATAAGCCTTTTACGGAATGTTATGAAACTTTGCATACTGCGTTTTAATGTCATAATGAATGATTTTATGAGAAGTAGGCACGTTTTAATTTAAAAAAATTAAAACGTGCCTACTAAACAAATAATATATTATATAATAGAAATGTTTACAAAAGTGAACATTTCTATTATACACTCACCGGCAAAAAAAACCGCCCACTAAAAACTAGTCCCAATTTCAAAGTTGGGTTTCTCGCGAACCACTCATTAGATTTTGATGATTTTTTTTTAAATTGTAAATTAATTCCTTCTTAACGGATGCTACGTCAGCAATTTTTATTCCGAATTTATTTTGAGCATGTACAGGGCACAACAATAAGACGAAGTTTTTTGACCAAACTTTGTAACACTCTGTAGGGTGCAGCAGCTGTAGTAGCTATTGCTAAATCAAATCACATTGTAGCCTCATCTTTTGTGAGCATTTTGTTTTTTTAATCACGACATTATCTCTGTTTGTATTGGAGATACGCTGCTTTAAAACAAACGCCTCGAAAAAAGCTTTAAAATCAAATCAAACATCAGAACTTAGATGTAAACTAACTAAAACATGAAAATTAAAAAAAAGGTAAAGAAATTTTAAGGGACTCATATCTAGTGTCCACTGGCCTGGTGAAATTTCCTGTTTCCATATACCGATTCCAGGCATCCTGGACTGTTGTTCAAAATATACCCAGGGTTTCGGAGACATAACGTTGACTTTGGCCATCCCCAATTAAATCCACAATACGAGCAACATCCGTTACAGATAATGGCATTTTTTAATTTGACAACCGTTTTTCTCATATTGCAAATACTCATAAATCCGGTTTCGCCTATGTCGCTTTGATTATTTACACATAAAACTTTCTGCCTTTTCCGAGATGAATTCTGAATTTTTCCGGGACGTTTATAATATATTATTTGTTTAGTCCGTTCGGTTAAAACTGGGCAAAATAACCGAAATGTATGGGAGGCTTAAATTACTTACTGACTATTAAAATAATTTTATTTCTTGGCTACAGTTGTGTTAGTTGTTTAGCATTATATTTTTTTTAGAAATTCGATACGATGTTTAGTTTCTGTTGTACCGCAAACTAAACTGGATGATTTCGGTGCGAAAAATGAACCGGTCCTGAGCTATCTGAAGGGTTCACCCGAACGAGCAGAAATAGAAAAAGCCCTCAATGAAACCGCAAATAAGACTGAGGAAATACCGATTGTTATTGGCGATAAAGAGTTTAAAACTGATGATGTTAGATATCAGGTATAATACGTTAATTATTATACAGGATAGTCCAAATTGTAATTGGGAAACTTCGGTCACATATTCTGCAGATAAAATGAAGTAAAAAAGTTCGTATAGGTGTGTGTCCTAAAATGCTTCGTTTCGGAGATACATGATGTGGAAGTTTCATTTTTATTTCGGTTTTTTTTTAATAATTTCTGAACTAACTTCGATATTTGGATGAAGATTGATGTTTTTTGATATGAAAATATTCGATTTTCATATCACCTAGCTACCGAGAGAAAAATTATGGAGTGTAAAGGTAAAGAGAAATATCTTCGTGCATTAAAAATGGTCATAAAAAAGGGAAGACTTAGATGACACTGCTGTAGCAAAAACCTAAAATTTAAAATATGCGCCGAAAATTTTTAGAACAGGAAATTATTCAAAAGAGATAAATATTTGACGTGAAGGCACGGGTTTCAAAAAAATACAAATTGTATTTTCATGGCATGAAATAAATTATCGATTTTTATTCAGCAGCAATAGACTGGGCCTCTAATGCATAAAAATAATTGTTTTATATTCTAAAAAATAAAAACCAAGCATTTTTTAGTAATGTTTGGTTATGTTACTTTTATTCTCTTATCTATGGTTACTTTTCATTTTTTAGATTTATGCGTTATTAGCGCCACTGTGGTTATTTGGTGAATCCTTATTCTTCCCATTTTTGTGACCAATTTTTCAAATAAACTCCCATGAGAGATATTTTATTTTTCCTCATCTCTACACTTCATAAGAAAAATATACATTTCCGCCATTTTTTAGGAAAAAATGTCCCTTGGTAAAAATCGCTACGGGCAACCATTTTCATGTTATTCTCGAAGGAATCAATACATGTCATCATTGACATAAAATAAACATGTTGAGATACAATTATTTGACTGAAATAATAAGTTTGGAAACGTTTTATTTTATTAAATTAATCATAATTTTTTTTAGAAAAATGTATGATAAAACGGTTCCAGTAAAACATTTGGCACAAAAACATTTCTAAATCTATTATTTCAGTCTAATAATTACTAGCCAACGTGTTTATTTTTTGTCAATAATGGCAGATATTGAATATTTCGAATCAAAATACCTAGAAAATGGGTGCTCGTAGCGATTTTTACAAAGAAACCTTTTTTGCTTAAAACCGGCGGAAATGTATTTTTTCTCTCAGTAATGAGTAGTGTAATATAGACACAGACGAAAAGTTATTGCTCTTCAAATCAGTTAAAAATATATAGATGACGCTGATGAATTCCTCATGTAAAAAAACACCCAGACACCAATTTTCATTCAAATATCGAAGTTAGTTCAGAAATTATTTGGAAAAAAAAGACGATGTAAAAATGAAACTTCTACAACCTGTATCTTTGAAACGAAGCCACCTTAGGACATAAATTTATACGCACTTTTTTACTTATTTTTATCTGCAGAATATGTTGCCGAAGTTTCCCAATTACAATTCGGGCCACCCTGTATATGAATAAAATACTAAATACCTATATAATATTTTGGTTTTGAATATTCCTAGGTGATGCCACATAATCACAAGAAGAAAGTCGCCAAATTCTACTATGCTGATGCGAAACTTATAAATCAAGCGATAGATGTCGCTACCGAAACACAGAAGAAATGGGACAAAACTCCTATTCCCGAGAGGTACTCATACTTTTAAAAATTATCTCTATTTTTTATTATGGACACAAGTATGGGATATTAATTCATGCATTACCACTATTTTAAATAAAAAAAAATATATTTTTTTAATTATACACTCTATACCGGATGTTATTCAATAGCGGTTCACTCCTGTACCTTTTTTATTTTTTTCAGAGAAAAAAATAAGCTTCAAACTTTTTGTATGATTATTTTTAATTTGTTTTTAATTTTTACGTATGTTATGTTCTTTAAAATCAAAGAAGCGAATGCCGTACATTACTAACATCTACAGATGCATGATCAATACATTTATTTTTATTAGATTTTATTAAAAAATCCTCTTTTATTTTTCTTTTAGAGGCTATCACTTCTTTCATTATAAAAAAAGTTGTAGTCAATGTAAGTCTTTTATCTAAGTTGTAGTAATTTCCGGTGAAACAGGATGTGATCCATGTAATCGAAGGTAATTGAAAACGTCAATTAATCCTAATTTAAGTGCTATACTAACATACCAAATCTCATTTTTTTATCTGAAAAAATAAAAAAGTTATAGAAGTGAGCCACTTTTGAAAAGCACCCGGTACACTATTTTTTTTAAATCGTCAATAGTGAGGCGTTGTTCTTCATGCTTTTTATACAAATTTACCTATGGATTATTATTAACCCAGTGACATTTTATAAATAAAAAAAAAGTTTTTTGTCCAATTTTTCCAGAATTTGAGCCATTTTGAGAATTTTACATATTGAATTCCTATTGAACAAGAACACTGTCTCTATTTTAAATTCCAGATTAAGAATTTGGGAAAAAGCTGCCGATTTAATGGCCGGAAAGTACCGAGCGAAATTAAACGCGGCAACCATGTTAGGACAAGCGAAAACTGTCATACAAGCTGAAATCGATGCTGCCGCTGAATTAATTGATTTCTTTAGGTTGTATTTTCCGAATATATGTATACCAAGTAAAGGGAAATGGAGATATTAATTGTTATTTTAGACTAAACGTGTATTTCCTCAAAGAAGCCACAAAATATCAGCCCATATCAGAAAACCCACAGGTGACCAAAAATTCCATGAGATACAGAGGCATTGATGGTTTCATTGCGGCTGTTTCTCCATTTAACTTCACTGCCATTGGTGGAAATCTCGCCTATACACCTGCATTAATGGTAAGTTATCTTTTTTATTGCAGAGAGATGAGCTACAACTAGTCCACCCCATTTTTTCTACCTCACAAACTTCCAAGGTCCCACAGTTTTATTACATTTATTACACAATGTAATCAAATAAGTAACATATTTTAAGATAACGTCTCCTTTTTACTGCTAAGGCTAATTTGGATGAGGCCTACTTTGTTTAGACTGAATCCGAACCGCGGTCCTCGATCATATCATTGTCAATGTACAATTTGTGCATCTTTTAACCAGCCAGGACAAGACACTAAAAACGATCAAATCTATTTTTCCAAGCCTCCTTGATTAAAAATTAGTGTTTTTAACACAGCTGTAGCACTATAGATTGAAATTTAAAATACAATTTTAAGCGAAAATATCAAAAGTTGACATATGATATGTCATTCAATTCAGAGTGTGATTTTCTATCGAGTATAATAAAAAAATACCGAGGGTGCGATTTAAAAATCAAAAGCTGTAGTAATTTCCGGTAAAACAGGAAGTGTCCGAAAATAATTGAATACGTCAATTAATCCTAATTTATGTCTTATACTAACATACCAAATCTCGTTTTTTTATCTGAAAAAATAAAAAAGTTATAGGGGTGAGCCACTTTTGAGACGCACCCGGTATAGCCGAGGGCCGCGGTTCGAATTCCGCTTAAGGAAAGTATAAGATTATCCATAGCAGCAAAAAGGAGACGTTAACTTAAACTATTTCACTTTACTTTCATGCCTACTGTACGTCCATTTTTTCAGGGAAATGCGGTTTTATGGAAACCCAGCGACACCGCCATTTTAGCCAATTGGGTGAATTTCAAGATCTGCCTGGAAGCGGGAGTTCCTCCAGGCGTAGTAAACTTTGTTCCATCTGATGGTCCAGTTTTTGGTGACACTATTACTGCCTCACCTAATTTAGCAGGAATCAATTTCACAGGAAGCGTTCCGTAAGACGACCTAATTAACACAAAAATAAATAAAAGTTGGCAGGAATGTCATCAAAATATTTGACGAAAGCACGTATCGCAATGTTGCCACGGCTACTTTTTTACATTGACTAGTGTTAAATAAAATTGGTAATTTTATCACCGATTTTTCACTTAATACATATAAACATTTTCTTCTACATTATTACTTTGTCTGTGATTATTACGCAAAAAGAATCAAATTAAATGAATTTATTAGCAAGTTTTCTAAATGAAAGCTGACTGGTTGACATTAGTCTTCACTCTTTGTGAGATTGATTCTACTCACATTGTGTAAATTTTTACCTTTCTAAAGCAATTTAACGTCAAAAGAGGCTCACCAAGATCTCTTTCCTGTTCAAAATAATTCAGTAGATACGAGATAAGTTGCTGATTCCGACTATTTAGTAGTTTTAGCATTTTATTGTACTAAAAATCGTAGTTTTAATTAAACAAAACGCAGATCTAATTTCAAAGTTGTCAAAGAAAACTCCGAACAAAATTGAAAATAACAAATATTACATTTGCAAAGAAAAAATCTCATGACAACCGGCAACATTTGACATGACTACCAACATAAAGCCTTTTTTAGCGGCTAGTTCGTTTACTTGATGCAACAGCGTGTGGTCTTTTTTTAACCAAGATATAAAGATTACAAGAAAAAAGTGCGCTATAAGTTTGAAACGAATTATTATTTATTAGAAATTTAATTTGGTAATAGTTTCGACGTCTTTGATGACGTGCTCGCCAGCTTTTATTGATTTTTCTATATATTTTTTTTTTCATTCATAATTATTTTAGTACATTTACGCGTCTATGGAAACAAGTGGGAGAGAACATTAGTAAATACAAGAATTTCCCTCGCCTAATCGGAGAATGCGGCGGTAAAAATTATCATTTCGTCCATCCTAGTGCGGACATTGACACAGTAGTCAACGGTACGATTAGGAGCGCGTTTGAATTTTGCGGACAAAAATGCAGCGCTTGCAGTAGGATGTACGTGCCGGAATCTTTGTGGCCTAAGGTACTATTTCTTTGTGGTTTTCGTCTTAATACGAGGGTATCCTAAAAAGTTTCCAACGTTTCTTTTTTCTGAAAATTTCACACCATTACTTTTGGACCACTATACGGGGTGTTTCAAAAAATATGTGGGGTAATATCTCTCGTGTGGAGATTCCTCACGTAAAGGTATAATTTATTTTCACTATCACGAAAATGGGGACGGATTTAAATGGGTATACTTTAAGACAACCCAATGAAAACATCACAAGAAATGCCTTTGACTGGGACCAACACCCTTGACAGGGAAGACGGAAAAGAGGACGCCCAAAACAAGCATGGCGCAGAACCGTAATGGAAGAACTAGCGATGTCAGGAACATCATGGCCAGAAGCTAAGAAAATTGCGGAAAACAAAACAAGATGGAAGGTTTTTACTGAAGCCCTATGCTCCACTTAGGAACTAAAGGAAACCATGATGATGACATCCGACGCTGTTTTAGCTTTAAAATACTTATAGTAATTTTTACCCTCAAAGTTTCATTCAAACTTGGAAGAAAATTAAAATAAATCGAAAAAAAAAATAAGATTTTAACCCCCCGTAGCTATGAAACAAATCAGAATACGACCTATGTTGTTGTAAAGGGCCGGCTACATGTACAAGCTTTACCACAAGCTTACCTGCACAAACCAGTTTGTATCAGGAACTCGCTGTGTGTAGACGGTAAAACGGTAGCACGCACAAACCAACAAGCGAGGCTTGCGTAAACGTCGCGTTGCTAAAGATTTTAGTTTGCGCAAACCAGTTTGTGCGGTGATATCATACGTGTAGAGGATATCAGCGAGTTCAAGCTACAGTTTTGTGACTTTTGTGGGTTTTGTGTTAAACAATAATTCGTTACTTGACATTTCAACGAATGGAACCACAAATTCTGGATAAAAATAATGATAAATGTACTATCTTACTTGCATCGTGTGGACACCATCAGTGTTCCTTCTATTTTGCGCAAACTATACCAGGCAAGTCGCTTCCGTGTAGCCGCCGCTTAAAATATATATCTTATTTTTATGTCTCCCCATGAGAGATGATGGTACATGTTTTTTGAAACGCCCTGTATACAAAGTCCGAATTACACGTATCCAGTGGCTGGTGTCAGTTTTACTGGTTACTTTTGAGACTACCCTCGTAAAATAATATACTTTTTTACAAGTGTTTTTTTAAAATATTTTGTACTTTTTTTAGTACAATTCAAATATGTTATTTGTAGATTAAGGAAAGATTGTTGGAAAAAAGGTCTCAATTAAAGATTGGGGATCCCACTGATTATGAATCGTTTACGTCAGCTGTCATTGATGACAAGGCCTTCAAGAGAATTTCCGGTTATATTGACCATGCTAAAAAATCGTCAAATCTAGAAATTATTGGTGGTGGAAAATATGATGACAGGTAATACCGAAAAAACAGCGTCAAAGGCGACCGAGGAATGACAATCGATAATAATTTTGGCGAGGTCGAGCCCTAGACGTCATTTATTATTATTATTATTATTTACTTAGACCTTCAGTAGTCCTTCTTATTTACTCAGCACTCTTCAATAGTTTTTAACGGTGCTTACTGCCAGTTAAGAAGGTTGTAATTTATTTTTATATTTATAAAAATGATTTTAAATGGTGTAGTTTAAAATTTTGAGAAAAAAAAATATTTTTTTTTATAATAGATTTGTGTGACTGGAAATGTTCTATTCTTTTTTAATCTTTCTATAATAGTGTTAATTTTGACAAGTTTTAAGTCAATTTTTAGTAAATGACGGCTAGAGATTGACCTCGTCAAAATTATCATCGATTGTCATTCCCCAACTGTCTTTGACGTCGTTTTTTTTTCGGTACTTACGGTATTATTCAATTTTCTTTTAGTACTGGATACTTCATCGAACCAACCATTGTCCAGACCAAGGACCCCAAAGACAAAATTATGGTAGAAGAAATCTTTGGACCTGTTTTAACAATATACGTTTACCCAGACAGTAAATTGAAAGAAACTCTGAATCTGGTTGGCAATTCAACTTCATTTGCTTTAACAGGCGCCGTGTTTTCACAAGACGAGTATGAAAATCCATTAAAAACTGGCTTCATGAATGAGTGATACAACAATAATTTGTTTTAGGCAATTTTTGAAATCTGCTCTTGAGGAATTGAAGATGACCGCTGGTAATTTCTATGTTAATGATAAATCGACTGGCAGTGTGGTTGGCCAACAGCCTTTTGGCGGTGCGAGGTTATCAGGTAATGATCTAAAAAAATAAAAATATTGTAGATTGGCTTTCTCGCGATATTCTTTCCGTTTTTTTACGTTTTTTTTTATTTTTACTTGTTTCCTTCTTTTTGTTCTAAATGTTCTCATTGTTCTCCAGAATATTAAGAAAAACGAAAAATTCAGAATAATGTTTTTTTTTGCTCCTTTTCAGGTACTAATGATAAAGCTGGAGGTCCACACTACGTCCTAAGATGGGGAAACCCCCAAGCAATTAAAGAAACTTTCGTTCCTCTAACTGAAGTCACCTATCCATACATGAAACAATAATCACTACATCGAATGGGGGATAATTTTTCGCTTTTATTTTCTCTATTAGCAGAAAATCTCGCAGGAAACTTTAAGTTATGTGATAACTAGGACTATATTATTAGGCTTTAAATATTTACATATTTATTTGGACAAAATGCAATTTATTATAGTATTATTACTTTTTTCTTAAAAGTATTATTATCTTCAAAAGTTACTGGTGATGAGCAATGAAAAAAAATGTATTAGATTGTATTCTGATTAGGTAAGCTGCTCTATATGAGTTTATTTTGGAAAAATTAAGGAATATTTGAAAGAAATTTATTTCCTAATTAAGATTTTTTATATATTTTTGAAAATATTTAATATCCCTCAATTATTTCACATAGATATATTATTTATTACATGTGCATGTGTGAATATATATGTATAAATAGGCAATTCTAACAAAAGTTAACATTTTCAAACACCTAAATATCTTCATAAGATGTGTTTCAAAATGTTTACTGATTTTGATTTAAAAAAAATGTTACCCTTGTCTTAAGGTAAAAAAGTCAATGACAATATCTAAATGGTATATAATATCTGTATTATTTTAACATAATAAATTTGGTAGAAAGTTGTTAAGAACATTGTTCATTTAGATTCTACAGTATAATTCCTTATTAAATTCTATTTATTAAAAATAAATGGCATATTTTTTGTTTATTATTATGTTTCATATATTTTTTTTGTAAATATATCCCTTGTGGTTGTAAGAAATATGTAATTCAAAGTAGCAATAAAAAATTGCTTTATTGTTAGAATATTTTATTTTTGTTTATTAGTCTAAATCAATAAGAAATAATTATTAAATGATAATAATATATAGTTTTATTTCAAATTAAACTAATCAACTACGCCTAATTCCCTCAATTTTGCATTAATTCTGTTTCCCAAACTAGTATAATACTGCATTTTGATCACAAATTGTTTTGCCTCATCTAAATTCTGATGTTTAAAACATTCATCGATGCTCTGAGCCAATCTCTCCAATTCATTTTTATTTTTTATGTTAAGCTGTCTCAGCTGTTCTGGTTCGACGTTATTATCTAACTTAAAAGTTAAGAATGAATGGTATATTATCAGGAAGGTAAAGTAATTGAACAAATATAACATACTTCTTCGTTCAATTCCATCATCTCCATTAAAAAGCCTGGATCAACAGAAGATTGTTTTTCTTCAATACTACTACCACTTAGTTTCAGCAAATGTTCTGCTCTTTTTAAAGGCGTTGCTAAACATTTGTAAGCTTTATTAACTAAAGACGAATAGTTTTCTGATATCTTCTTCTCTTCCTCTGTCCTAGAAAATATCAATCACAAGAACGTTAAAAAAAAGAGAAAAAATACCTACCTGTTTATAAATCTATCTGGATGTAAATTGTTTTGTAGGTTTTTGTATTTGTCTTTTAGTATCTTCGAATCTATATCAAACTGCTCGTCTATATCAAACAATTTAAAATAGTTATCCCTCTCGGAGGGCATCTGAATAACATTACACTGACTACAAAAGATATCACTAAAATTCTTCCTTTCTATTCCACATTTCCAGCAAACTTTCTGGTTATACCCTTGAGATGCATATTTAATTAACAAATTATAGGGTATATTCCTTAATTTATATTTATTTATAATTGTATGGTACTTAGCTTCAGGCTGACTTCTTAAGATATTTTTAATTTGTCTCGCAACGATTAGAAAAGACATTATTAGAAAAACCTTTTTAGAGAAACAACTATTTGTTTATTTTAAATATATAAAACTGTAATGCAAATTAGTTCAGTTATTTTTGATGCTAATAAATATTTACACATTACCCTATTCTATGATCCTATTTTATTTTGTTTACAAAAATTTTGAAAAATTTAAAAAACTTAAAATTTCTAACCTAACTTTACCCAGTTGTCAGTACAAATGAATAACTTAATCTATGGTTTGAAATATCATATATAAAAGAACTTTAAAGACTCCAATTTTACAGGCAGACATTCCACAGCTTATTAACTGCTATCTTCTAACTTCTTACTGCACCCCTATTTATTCATTTATTCTATGGAGACTGTTTTTGTTTTTCTAAAATATATTAAATTCCCAAATTTAAATTGCCAGGAAACAGAAAAAGTGTTTTAACTTTTAATTTAACGTGCTTCTTACCCATTTTCATATTGGTGTTTATCCTTTATATGTTATCTGTGTTTATTTGGAGTTATTGGAGGCAGATCTATTTGAAATTTTTAAACTTATTTAAGGTAATGCAAGACCTGGCCATTAATTTCAAATGTGAAAAAAGTTAACGGCAATCATATAGTCTTGCAGCACAAAATGATAATGCAGTCACACTTTTTTTATATAAAAGTCTATCTTTATTCAGCCCTGGCTAAACAAAATGATGAGATAGAATACAAATTGTAGAAATATAAATAACATATATTATAGAAAAATTGCAGTAAGTATTTTACCTAGTCTCTTAATAGACGATGGTTTCCTATTATTTGAACACCTGATTGGTTCTGTATTCGCTTATTTCATTTATTGTTATATAATTTTAGCCTGAAATATGATATCAGCCGAGGAAGAATTTAATGCAATAAAGTCTGAGCTTGTAGTTTTTAATTCTTATCAGGACATTGAGGAACCACCTAATGATAGAAGTACTTTGCATGAGGGTAAGTTAACCATGGGTGTCTGTTAACTATGTGAGGCGTTTTTGAGGATTTTTTGCCTCCCTCTCTTCCACTGTCGAGACAACGAGATTTGCCTCGATCCTCTCCATCTTTCCCTAACCTCGTGAAAATTTTTCAAAATTTGTACCGTATGATCGAGAAAAAACGGCGTCAACGATGGCTATGAAGTGAAGATTGCTGTCATTTTATATGTAAAATTTATGGGAAATGTCATCGATCGTCATTTCCCAGCCAACTGGACGCCGTTTTTTTTCGATCATACGGTATTTTCGTATAAAAGTGTTGGATTTACTTAAAAACTCAATTGCTTTATTTGAGATTGTTTAGATTGTAATTTAAAATCACAGTGATAACAATAAATAATGCTTAAAATTCATTCTAATTAAGTCCACAGTCTCAAAAGTGAGTGTTGGTACCAACAGAACCAGTGAGTTTCAGTAAAATCATCTGCTCCTTTAACAAAAAATAATACAGAAGTTCAGTAGTAGTTTTTACTGAAAAGTAATCTGATTTACTCACATTTAAACACTACACTTTTCTGCTCTAAAAAATTATGTAATATTTGCCGAAACCCCCTCTCCCCTCTCGCCCTTCTAGGAGATTCGACTTGATCCCCTCCCAGTGGCGTGCATATAATGTAGGCAAAAAGGCGTTGCCTACCCCAGCAATATAAAATCTTTTATTTATATCATTACATTATAACTTACTACTAATCCAACAAATATTTGCATTAAGCATTTTTTATCTTATTTTTATTCCAGAGATTATCTAAGATATATACGTATGTATTATTAAAATAATTTTTGACTACTGAGTTAACGCGCAATTTTCATATAAAATTAACCATAAATGCGCTCCATATGACTTACGCGAAGGCAGTTTGATTTACTTATATCAGTGTTGCCAGAATTTTTCAAGCGAATTTCTTAAAGGAGTCTTAAAAAACCTTCATATTCTTTCAACTTCACAAAAACGCCTAACCTAAACAAAGTTCGTATATTTTACCTATTTTATAGTTAGGAGAAAATTTTTAAAAACATATTTCTGGAAATTTTTGGACACTGTTGTATTTAAATAAAATTTTTATTTAAATAAATTGGGTGCGCCCTATGTGTGCATATTTTAAGTGAAATTTCTCATTTTCATCTGTCTGTCTGAGGACCCCCTTCAGGTACCTCTATCCACGATCCACGTGCCGAGTTTGGTACCAATCGACCTATAATTAAAAAAAATCCATCCAATACTAATCTAACCAAACCAAATCCTGATGATTTCGTCTATTTAGAGGCATCGATTAGAAACGTCGAGGGCGTCATCCTGTAGCCCGTTCCCAATTATGCTGAAATTGTACCACATTTTTCTTCAATATCGAACTGTTAGTCCCACCTTGATGAAAATTTAAACGAAACGTCGTATCCAACTTTGCAGGGTTAGACCGTGTGTGCCGTCGCTCACGTTTACTGTCCTCCATTCACGAATAATTCCAAAGGATGTTTTAAGATGGATAAAGTGGGTATTGGTTTCTCCATATCTCAATGATTTTTAAATTGGGAACCAAAAAAGTGGTCAACCGTCAATCATTATTCTTCACCTGACTTAAATAGCTGGGAACTCCGAGCACCAATTTATAGGAAGGTGCTCGAGGGGAAAGGCAATCTCGGCGCGGAATAGTTCTGAACTTTATGACTCAATTGAATGGAGGGAGGGTATCGCGTTCTTGGACAGTTCATCAGAGCTGCACAACTGCGTGAATGGAGGACAGTAATTGCCTATCCTTCAAATTTGGTCGCGATCCCACATCAACTTTTGACGTTTCTTACTTCAAAACTAACTGTCACAGTGACACGTGTCGTACACGGTCAAGCTGACCTTGGTCCAATCTGTCAACATACCAAATTTCATTTAAATCGGACGATTTTTTGATTTGATTCACTGATGATGGGGTTTCATAGTGCACATCGACACATCGCACAAGATCGATACCTTTTTTTTGACGCCTGGCGACCTTGACGTGACGCTTGGCGTAACGCTAGCTCGTGTGTCACAGCATTGAATTTTTACTCCCATCCCGCCTAAAGAAGTTTCAGTTCATAAAAAGAAAACTTTCTTCTTCAAAAAAAAACAAGATCAAAAATGCTGTGATAGATACTCAACAGCATTATTATAAAGTATGTTTCAAAAAATTCATTGCTTACAATGACTGCTTGAACCGAGAATAATTAATCGTGCAAGACGCCATAATCAGTTGACTTATTAGATATGTTGTCCGTTTACCTATTTATTTCTTTTCATCATCAAGAACTTTGGTTTAGTTATGGTATGTGTGTAATAAGACTTGTTGAAAGATAAAATGTATCTATTAATTTTTTGTTAAATATTAAAATCTTTCGAATTGCGGACTTTTTGACAGCAATATTGCTTTAAACTGAAGCATCTTTAATTAAACACCGTTGAAGTGAAAAGATCGATTTAGTAGATGTAGCGATGTAACAATTTTTATTATACAAAACTGCCATAATCCTTCATGTTATCTTCTTTTTGGATAAAAATCCTTCAGCCCTTCAATCGATGAAATTTAAGTGTAAAATCCTTCAATTCTGGCAACACTGACTTATATTATGTCTCTAATCAAAAGTTGCACCTTTACGAATCTTCCACGTACTCGACAACTCTACAGACCGAAACCAACCGAAACAACTGGAAGTGTATAAAAAAGAGGAAGAATAAGGAAGTAACGCGTGGTTTAATTTTGTTGGCGTCGAGCGCATATACGTATTACTTTTTACAAATATACTCAGCCTAATCTCCAAAAAGTGAAGCCCAAACAGTGAAAGAGAAATATGGAATTCTGCATAAGTCTATTTCACCCGGATATTCATTTAACTGCGCATGCCTCACCTGAAGAAGTTTTCATTGGTCGATGTTTTTAAAGGGAAGTGGTTGACTGACATTTCACCTAACCTTCTATTTTATTTATACTTTTATTATTTATAACACATTATCATGGGAGTTGGAAAAATATCAAAAAATAGTTGGAAACAGTAAACTAAACAAAATCACTCTTTTACCCGCACAAATAAAAAGTAATCCAAACAGAACTAAAACAACAATCAATCGGAGTTTGGCGCAATCGCAGTTCAATCCATATCCGGGTGAAATAGACTTATGCAGTGTTAATATGGAGCTGGGTTATGTTGTCTTTTTCTTACGGCACAGAAATTGCACACGGGGTTAAATAGGGAACAAGGGAACCCTGAGTATATTTGTAAATAATACGTATATGGTCGAGCGTCGACTGCTGTTCTGTGCAGTGATGCCAAATCTAAAAAAAATCCTCAATTTATATAAATAAATTACACTTTTAACAGTTTAATGGAGTTTTTTAAAGCCAGTTATCTACATATAAAAAGTAGCACAGGTCACTAATTATAATAAACTTTACCCTTAGAATTACTTCTATTACAATTAATCTCCATTGGCATACTTTTCCATGACAATATGGTGGCTTATTTTCATATTAGTAACTTGGATCCTCATGTCCATTCAAAGACGATGAACATGAAAATGATTTACCACAAACATCGCAAACTAAAAACCTAATAAACAGTTTTATATCGAATATAGAAATCAATTTAGTATTCTTACATATTATCGTCCAAATCCATGTTAATAGATAATTAGTATTTTGGAATTTTATCTTTTATTTTTAAATATATTTTTGGAACTGCTGGTTTTAGTAATTATTAAATTAAACGACCCAAAAAGTCTGAAATAAAAAACAGTTCTCAACCATATATCGTGTCAATTTTCTCCTGATACTGAACATCATCGATACCGCATGATCTACGTCGACTCCGATTACTTCTTTTAGTTCAGTCATTGGGGATCAAAAAAGGGGCCTGCTTGGAAAAAAGTCCGGAAGTTTTGAAACTTTGCAGGTTTATAGATTTTGGGGTCCCTAACTAAAATCCATAAAATGCACATTTCCAGACTTGCCGCCGGCGCCGCCATCTTGCCAAGATGGCGCCCAAAATCGGTATTTTGTGAATATCTCGAAAACTATGCGTTTTTCGCGAAAATTTGAGAAGAGCAAAATTAAAGAGAATAAACTTTCCTATAAAAAAGTTTTTATGAAAATTTTCGCTAAAGTCAACCATTTAGGCACAAAATCCCAGGAAATTTTACGATTTTGCGTAAAATATGATATATTATGTATAGTCGATTTTCCGAAATCAAATGTAGATTAGGGTTCACTAAAACTAGTTTTAGTTTAGTTTCTTCAATTTTGTCATAAAACAGTGGTGTATCATTAATTCGTCATTAATTTATGAATAATTAATTGTCGTGCTGGACAGCATTCATTGCGAACTTACCACCAGGTTCAGCATTGGTCTGGTTGTACCAAAGATGCTGAAGAATCAGGCATTACTCCAGTCCCAACCTTGAAAGATCCAGCTCCAAAATTGGAGCCCCCTATTGGCATTTTTATCCTGTAAATGCAAAACCAACAACTTTGGTATAGCCTGCGGATGCAGAAAAGCAGGATTAAAATGTTCAATGATTTGTGCATACTGCAATGGGAAATCCTGTGACAACGTCACTGAAGTGTCACTCGACATATCCGATGAAGAGGAGTTGGACTTGCCTGTAGATATACCTCTGGCGGCTGAAGATGAAGAGTTGGACGTATTGAGAGACCACCCCGATGAGCCCAGCACAGCAGACACGATCGACTTTGACATCAATGAGCCAGATCCGTCGAGCTTGTGCAGATAAGTTAAAGTTTTTAATTTATCTAGTGGAGTAGGCCTCCGGGGAGACCAGGTTAAAATAAACGCGCCATATACTTTACCTCTTGGGTGGTGTGCAAACAAGTACACATTTTCAATAATTAAAATTAATTATTCATAAATTAATGAGTGAATTAATGATACGCCACTGTTTTATGACAAAATTGAAGAAACTAAACTAAAACTAGTTTTAGTGAACCCTACTCGACATTTGATTTCGGAAAATCGACTATACATAATATATCATATTTTACGCAAAATTGTAAAATTTCCAGGGATTTTGTGCCTAAACGGCTGACTTTAGCGAAAATTTTCATAAAACCTTTTTTATAGAAAATTTTATTCTCTTTAATTTTGCTCTCCTCAAATTTTCACGAAAAACGCATAGTTTTCGAGATATTCACAAAATACCAATTTTGGGCGCCATCTTGGCAAGATGGAGGCAAGTCTGGAAATGAGCATTTTATAGATATTAGTTTTTTTAGGGACCCCAAAACCTATAAACCTGCAAAGTTGCAAAACTTCCGGACTTTGGTCTTGGATAATGACTGAAATATTTGATCTGACTGGACGGTTGGTCACGTATTTTACAGTTTCCTATTTTTGTGACGCCTGGCGACCTTTGCGTGATGCTTCGGCCATTGAAGACCGCGTTCGCGACCTTGAATTTTTACTCCCATTACTTAACTTATTACCTATGCTATTCTTATTTTATCAATTTTGCTCTCCCCTTAATTCCCTCACGTAATTAATGGACGCCGCCTTATCAGCATTAGCATTTTTCTATTCCCTTTTTTTCTGTTCTGCAGGTTTAAACTTGTTAATTGACATGGAGACTATAAAACAGGAAACGAATTTTTGTATCGACAAAATAGAACCAACTACTGATATATTGGAAAATGATCTTGGAAATATTGATTCAAAAGCCAATATTTCACCAATCATTTTTTCGGCCGAATCAACATCAGGAGACTGTAGCATTTCACAGGCTACAGTAGACAATAATTCCTTATTAGAGAAAAAATCTGAAGAAGTGATATTTAAATGCCAGATTTGTGATTTTTTTAGTAAAACTAGGTTCGCTCTAAAGAGGCACATGTCTACACATTCAGATGCTATGTTTAATTGTTGTCATTGTTCTTTTAAATCTAGGATTCGATTTGCATTGAAAAGGCATCTGCTTCTTGTTCATAACAAATCGGACACTGCTAAAAAAACTCCACTGACCAATAATCAAGTATTCTGTTGCTCAAAATGTAAGTTTGAAACTCAGAAGAAACTATTGTTTACTTCTCATATGATGTCGCACGAATTTCGATTAAATATGAAGATTGGTAAAGTTAAAATCAAAAATAACCTAGTTAATTCAAGGGTAAAGATTAGAGGTAAAAATAATGGATTTTGCTGTGACGTTTGTTCGTATACCAGTAAATATAAACACGATGTTGACAGGCACAGACACGTTCATACTAACAAGAGCCCACTTTACAGATGTAGTCGGTGCGAATTCAAATCAACTAAACTTATTATGTCGAAGCATTTAAAATCTCATGGATTAGTCTTCAAAAAATCCTCGATTTTGCAATGCGTCGATTGCGATTTCAAGTCAATCTTAGATAAACTAAACATCCATATGAAGACAGTACATGGTCACGATATAGAATTTAGCAATTTGACAGAAACTATTTTTTCTTGTGAAGATTGTTCATATGTCACTGATTTTCTTACTAATCTTCAAAGGCATTCAGCAGTTCATATTAACAAAAGTTCCATTTACAGATGTACCGAGTGTGAGTTCAAATCAGCTCGCGATGCAATGATTTGGCATTTCAAATCTCATGGAATAGTTAAAAATCCTTTAGATGTACGCTGCACAGATTGCGACTTCAAGTCGAAAGTGGGAGAAGTAACGTTTCATATGAAGACAGTACATAACCACGATATAGAATTTAATAATACAATAACCGATCGTCAAGAGAGTAAAAGTTTTTCTTGTAAAAATTGTTCATATGTCTCTGATTCTATGTTACAACTTAAGAGTCATAAATGCGTGGATGTTAGAAATCCAGTTTACCGATGTGGTGAGTGCGAGTTCAAATCAACTAAAGTCGGTATGGTTCCCCATTTAAAATCATCTCATGGATTAGAATTTGAAAAAGCATTTTTACAATGCACCACTTGTGATTTTAAGTCGAAACTCGATGAACTAACTATTCATGTGAAGACAGTACACGGCAAAATTAAAAAACTTTCTTGCAAAGATTGTTCGTACGTCACTTTAAATAAAAGTCATTTTCAAAGACATAAAAATATCCATATTCATAAAAGTCCCGTTTACAGATGTACTCAGTGTGAGTTCAGATTGGTTAAACAGCCAATGATAAGTCATTTAAAATCTCACGGGTTAGAAAGTTCTGAAAAAACTACAATTTTACGATGCACCGATTGCGATTTCAAGTCAAAAATGGACGAACTAACGATGCATATGAAGAGAGCACATAACCACAATATAGACATAAACAACACAAATTGGAGAGAAAAAACAAAATATGCTTGTGATAATTGTTCCTATGTCACTGGTAGTTCATTGCTCCTTGAAAAGCATACACGTGCTCACCTTAAAAACGGCTCTCTTTACAGTTGTAGCGAGTGTGAGTTCAAATCGACAAAAGTCGCTCTAAGTTTTCATTTAAAATCTAGCCACGGAGTGGTATCGGACAACTCTTTAGTGTTACAGTGTAGCAATTGTGATTTCAAGTCGACATTGGACATGCTGACAGCTCATATTATGACGGTCCACGATAACAAAACTACTGATGAAGACAAGAAAAAATTCGCTTGCTTTAATTGTTCCTTTGTGGCCGAAAGTGCCTATAACCTTACAAAACACGAACAAGATCATAGAAAAGAATATCCTCTTTATAGATGTAGTCGATGCGAGTTCAAATCAACTAAAGGTGTTCTGATTCATCATCTAAAATCTCACAAAGTAGTATTTAAAAACTCTTCAATTTTACGGTGCACTCTTTGCGATTTTAAGTCAACATTGCACAATATTGACGTTCATATCAAGACCGTACATCCTTCCAGTACAGAGGTTAGAAAAATGGTTGTTACAAAGAACAAGTATTCTTGCAAAGATTGTTCATATGTCACTGATAATTCATGTCATCTTGAAAGGCATGCTGGGTTTCATACTAAGGAAAAGCCCATTTACAGATGTAGTCATTGTAAGTTTATATCAGTTAAAGTCACTTTGATACCTCATTTTAAATCCGATCATGGATTAATATTTGAAAAATCGCCAATTTTGCGATGCGCAGGCTGCGAATTCAAAGGGACATCAAGCAGGCTTGATGTCCATATGAAGACAGTACATGGGGACATTATAAAATCTGTTAAATCTACAATTAACTGTGAAAAACTCTCCTGTCCGGATTGTTCATATGTCGCTCGTGATATAACTAAGCTTAAAAGGCACAAAATTGTTCATATTAGAAATCGTCCTCTTTACAGATGTGGCCAGTGCGAGTTCAAATCAACTAAAGAATCGACCATTTATCATCTAAAATCTAATCATGGAGTGGCATTTGACAAATCTCTAGTTCTACAATGCATCAATTGCGACTTTAAAGCAACTTTCGATGCGCTTAAAGTTCATATGAGTGAGGTACATGATCGTCCAGTCGATGATCTTGCCAAAAATATATCGACAAAAAACAGTATGGTTGAGGAATATCCAAAGTTAGTTGTAAAGTTAATACGTTTGGAAGATAACGCTAGTCTTAAAGAGAATTCAACTGAAAAGTCAGAAGAGTCATTATTCAAATGTCAATTTTGTTCGTATACGTGTGACAGATTCGGGAGGTTAAGGCTGCACATCTCTATGCACACTGTTTATAACAAACCTATTTATAAATGTACCGAATGTAGTTATAAATCAACTCGTGAACCGTTAAGGTGGCATATTAAAAAGCATCGTAATGATAAGAATCAAGAAAAAGATAAAGAAGACACTAAAATTAAACAACTCTATGTCTGTGAATTGTGTGATTACACTATCCATGACAAGCAACTATTGATTGACCATAAAAAGAGCCACGAGAACTTTTCATCTGATTCAAAGACAGATCAAGTAAAGTACAGATGCGAATTTTGTCGTTTTCAAACAGACATCAAAGAAATGTTACATGATCACAAAGTGGTTCACTTGAATATCAATCAACTTAAAGTATACAAAAACACAACTTACAATGTTAAGGTGAAAAAAGGATCGAAAACTAAGACGGCTTTTAAGTGTAGCTTGTGCGATTTTAAGACCGATATGAGAATAAAATTGAAAAAGCACATGGATAGGAAGCATAAAGGCTTTCTAGAAGAAGAAGTGGCAACGTCTAAAACGTCAAAGTTTCCATGTCACCTTTGCTTTTATACGTCGAAAAGTAAGCAAGCGGTTAAGAAACATTTTCTGGCCTGCCACGTCAAAAGCACGTAATGCGACCTATTACAGGGTGTGGCGGTATGGTGACACAAAGCCTAAGTATTCATGTTTACGATCAGGTTAGGACACACAAGGTGGGTCAAATTGGACGTTTTTAAACTGAAACACTCTTTTCTATAGGAGATAGACGAAAACTAATACCGGTGTCTGGAGCTCAATTTTTATCAAAAACGTGATGGTGAAAACCGCACATCGATATCGGTTACTGTTTCGGAGTTACGGGGTGTTTTTCAAAAATGTGCACTTTTAACAAATCGGTGTAACTTTTTTGTCAGCGGACGCTAGCTCAACGCCGAACGCGATGTTTTCTGCCCAGAGTTGTTAAACTACACGTAGTAATTAATAAACTACATTTACTACATGTCACAAGTAGTTTTTTAAATGTCGAGTAGTAAATGTGTAGTTTATGTAACTAATGTAGTTTTTTTAAATAACAGTGAAAACATAACCTAAAAACTTTGTTTGTTGATCAATTTAAAGAAATAAAAAATCTATATTTTGTGAATTTGTTCCTTATTATCTGATATTTTTGATACTTGGTAGTTAAAAATGGTTGGAAGACGTCGATGTCTCCATACCTTGCTCCATACCTTCTGGGAAGAGAATTATGAAGTTGTGCCTTTAGATGTAAAAAATCATATATTCTCCTAGAGAATATCTATGGAGAATTTCTCCATAAGAATTTATAGTTTATTTTGTGTTCAATGTTACTTTGTATTTCATAGAAAATACACTTTTGTTGAAAAAAAAATTGTCTTTTTTTCTGATGTTTAAGTTATACAAATATAATATAACTTCATACTTCCATCTTCCATGATAAGAATTTGGCTTGATTTTTGTCTAAATTGTTTATGTTTTACTACATTTTTGTAGGTAGTTTTTAACGTAGTTTTTGTGCAGTTTTTGCAGGTAGTTTTTAAAATTTTAAAACGTAGTTAATACAAAAAACTACGCGTAGTTTTTGGCGTAGTTTTTTGCTTCATAAACTAGTTAACAACCCTGTTTCTGCCTGAACGGTCTAATTCAAATTAAGGGAATTGATTCCATTTCGTGTCGTCGCGGGCGCGACGCTTGACGCTCTCAACCTGAATGTACCTTAACAGATATCGATGTGCGGTTTTCACCATCATATTCTTGATAAAAATTGAGCTCCAGACACCGATATTACTTTTTGTCTATCTGCTATAGAAAAGGGTGTTTCCCTTTTTTTTTCGTTTTTTCCGTTCTCCTATAGAAAAGGGTGCGTCCAGTTTGACCCACCCTGTACATGACAGAGAGTGTTACTAAAAAATGGTAGTTTTTTGAGAACTAATCTACCTCAGCTGAATATGCGTTTTGTTTTTTGCTTAGGTAAAAGTACCATAAGATCCAAAAAAACGGCGTCAAGTTGGTGTCGAAATGACGATCCATGACATTCCCTATACAGGGTGTCCCAGAAATAAGTGCAAGTATTTTAACTGGTAGTATAGTTCAACCCCAGAAACACGCATATGACGTTTTTTTCGCCGAAATTTTTTTTTGAAAATTCGGAATTTTTTGAATTTTTTTTTTAGTTTTTATAGTAGTAGATTAAATTTACAAGAAAGAAAATCCAGAAAAGATCCAGTGGTTCTCAAAATGTTAGCAAAAAATCTTTTTTTTTTAATTTTCAAAGTAAAATAACTCCGTTATTTTGGACTTATTTGAAAAACGATAAAGAGAAAATATGTTTCTTTTATCGAGATCTACCACCCCTTAAAATACTTGCACTTATTTCTGGGACACCCCGTATAAATTTAACGAATAAAATTGAGTTGGTCTTCTTTTTGAAGCTAAATCTGACGTCTTTTTTTCACTTGTATGTTATTTGTTTTATAATAGTGACAGTCAAAAAGTTGGTATCATTTTTATTTAGTTTTCGAAAAATATTTAACGAAAATCATTTTGACATGCTGAATAACAATAACAAAAAAAACAGGAACATGTTTCTACTGTCATGACAGCAACTAGCAAAAATATAACAAACATTTATTAATGTACCAAATGTAGTTATAGGTCAATTCATAACCCGTTAAGGTGGCATAATATAAAGATGCAACATGAATAGGAAGCAACATAATGATAGGCTTTCTCGAAGAAATGTCATCGTCTAAAACGTCAAATTATTCATGTCACCCTTGCTTTCATACGTCGAAAATTAAGCAAGCGGCATAGATAAAGGAAATAAATTTAGATTGGAATGCTCGGCTTCCCGCTAAAACTATAATTGTTTTGGGTCGCATACGTTGTACGGGATCTGGCGCTGCTATCGCGGTTGCTAAGAACAACCGCAAACAAGAACAGAAAGAATTTTCTCTTGTTAAAGTCAGAATCTTCAAAAATTATAAAATCTTTAAAAATTTAAACCGCCCGCATTGAAAAAATACCGAAAAGTGTTTAAAGCGTCCATTTTCAAAGTAAATATTGCTGTCTTGTGAGTTTAATTTAAATTTTATTTACCCAAACCCCTGATAATTGTGATAAAGTGGCATTAAAAAAACTTAAGCTGTGTGAGCTGTAAACTGCAAAAACCATCGTGCCATAACGTCGGCTTCCAATGTTCCATAGGTATTTCATACATGCCCTTATATGAAATAAAGTTTCTTATATGCAACACACTGTGTTTTATTTATAAAATTAAAATAAAATAATAATAAATTTTAATAAACAATATATTTGGCGACACAATGCCGGAAAAAGTCGAACCGCTCCGAAATTATCAAAAGCTTTGGGTCGCGACCGTTGCAAGAATAGCGCCAAATAGTATTTACATTGCCCTTATGGGCACTTTCCAATCAAATGGCAAGTGGTTAGGAAGCATTTTCTGATCTGCCACGTTAAAAGTACGTAATGCGATCTATTACAGGGTATGGTGGCATAAAGCTTAAACATTTCATGCTTATGCTCAGATACATGACAGAGAGTGTTACTAAAAATAATGCAAAGTTATTACTTTTTAATATTGGGCATGTTGAATTGATTCCACAAAGACTTTTTCGGTAACACAATAATAAAAACATGGAACTTTTTGTCAATTACTCTATACTTATTTATTTATGATGGTTTAAAAGTGATATTTGTGAAAATCGGAGCAGTATTGTTGGTCATTCCGGGTTTTGAGCAGTATTGTTAGTCCACTCAAAGTGTGATATATTAATTAGTTTATGCCTTTTATTTGCAAAGTTTCCGTTATTTTGAGAAGTAATTATGTATGGTAGTGCTTAAGTTTAGATAATAAATGGTGAAAAAAAATATTAACAAAAATTAAACTATTTTGAAATCTCTAAGTTTTCTAATGTCCTTCCAGGTTTATAGACTCTTCATAGAATAACTTTTAAAATAGATAAAACCAATACAAAATTATAACAGTAAAGCACAACAAACCCAAAAATTTTAATTTGTAAAAAGAAAAAAGTCGAAATAAAAATTTTCAAAATAAAAATAAAGGTTTCAAAATGGTTACTTTGACGCCCCTTTTTTTCATCTTTAAAGCCTCGTCTATACATAACGTTTTGTCTGCCAATTAAAACTGTTATAAATGGAAGATCATCTATAATCTAGGGAACAAAATGTTTGTGACATTATTTTGTGATAATATTAAAAAGGTGGTATCCATACGAGGGTTGTTTTTTATATTTTACATATACAGTGTGGTCCAAACTGTATTCCGGAAACTTCGACTTCGGAAACTTCGAGTTGGTATAAATGTATGTCCTAAAATGCTTAGTTTTGGAGATACAGGGTGTAGAAGTTTCATTTTTACTTCGATTTTTTCGAAATAATTTCTGAAGTAACGTCAATATTTGGATGAAAATTGGTATCTGGAAGTTTTTTGTTATGAGAAATTTGATTTTAATGTCAATATGGCTCCTACTTGTAGAGGGCGCCACCTACATATTTTTTAACTGGTTTAAAGACTAATAACTTTTCGTCCGTACCTGTATAAAGCTACCGAGTAAAAAAATATACATTCACGACGTTTTTTACGTAAATCTCTTGCTAAAAATCGCTACAAGTAATGGTTTCGAGATATTTGGAATCGAAATTATCAATACCTGTCATCATTGACATAAATTAAACATGTTGACTAAATAGCTGTCAGACTGAAATCATAAATTTGACATGTTTTTGTGTCAAAAATTCAACAGAAACTGTTTTATCATCATTTTTTCACAGAAAAATTAATGATTAATTTAAAAAAATTAAAATTTCTCAAATTTATTATTTCAGTCAAATAATTATCTACTTAACGTGTTTATTTTTTTTTAATAATGACATGTATTGACTATTTCTATTCTAAATATCTTGAGAACGGTTGCTCGTAGCGATTTTTATCAAGAGACATTTTTTACGTAGAAAATCACGAAAACACACATTTTTTCACTCAGTAGATTTATACAGGTACGGATGAAAAGTTATTACTCTTCAAACCAGTTAAAACACATGTAGGTGGCGCTCCCTACAAATAGGAGTCATATTGATATCAAAATCAAATTTCTCATGTCAAAAAACTTCCAGACACCAATTTTCATCCAAATATTGACGTTACTTCGGAAATTATTTGCAAAAAAATCAAAATAAAAATGAAACTTCTACACCCTGTATCTGCGGAATTAAGCAATTTAGGACACACATTTATACTAACTTTTTTACTTATTTTTATCTGCGTAATATGCTGCCGAAGTTTTCGGATTACAATTCGGACCACCCTGTAGAGGTAGAAAAAATTAGTAGATAACTTTTAAACACTATTGTTTTTAGAAGTATTCTGTACGAAGAGAAATGCATTTTTGCATCCATTGGAACCAATTCTGAAAGCTTGTTAGTACTTTTAAAATTGCTTACAACTTTTAACCTTTACAACCTTTGATCCCGCAGTTCATTCTTAATTTTTGGAAAATTAAAAAAGTCGTTACGACTTAGGTCGGGAGTCGGGATTGTATGGAGAATGGTCCAATAATTCAATGCTTTCTTGCTTTAAAAACTTGATTGTTTTTGGAGTTGTGTGGGAACTTGCATTGTCGTGGTGGAGGTTCATTCGTCGTTGAGGGTTAGTTTTTCGAAACTCAACATTTACTTCTGACAAACAAATAGAAATGTACCAATTAGCAATAACAGTTCTTTAATCTTGCAGAAGAATTGTTGCTATCTGATCCGCTTTTGAGACAAATGTTGCCACCATCTTTTTGGAAACACTTCGAGAACGGATAAATATTGTCGGTTTTGGTTCATCTAGGAACACCCAAACAGCCAATTGACGTGTATTTTCAGGTTCTTAAGAGTAAATCCAGGATTCATCACCACTGGCAATACTGTATATAGTTTTTGATTTTCCAGCTTTAAATCAGTGTAGAGTTTTTTGACAGCAATTGACTCTAATTGCTTTCTGTTCTTCCGTCAACAGATGCGGTATCCAACGAGAATCTAATCTTTTACAGATAATTCTGCATGTAAAATTATTTGAATTGAGGTCTTTGCAATGTGCAATGATGCTTCACATTCACGACATGTGATATTTCGATCTTCGTGGATCCGCTTGGACGTACAGCATCGACGTTTTCCTGTGTGACTGCCGTTGTTGGTGAACCTGTTCTTGGATCGCCGCTTAGACTAATCCGTCCACGTTTAAATTCTTCATACCACAGAGAAATTGTCGCCTGATGTGATGCTTCATTGTCGAAAATGCGAATGTACTTCAATTATTGTCGAAAACGGAAACCA